GCATCATCTGCGCCTGACGCCACTTGAAGTTGGCCTCCATGATCCGGGCGCGGTGGGCCTCGAGTGCGTCGAGCTCGGCCTCGAGTTGGTTCTCCATGACAGAGCCATATTCACCCCCGAAGATACGACCTGTTGGAGGGGAGAGGGGAGGAGAGGGGGAGGAGGGAGGAGGGAGAGAGGGGGGGATAGAGGAGGAGGAGGGGTAGGAGATTGGAGAGGGGGAGAGGGGGGAGAGGGAGGAGGGGGAGAGAAGAGGAGGGGATGGAGGAGAGGAGGAGGGGAGGAGAGAGGAGGAGAGGATGGGAGATTGGAGGAAGAATGAGAGTGGAGATGAGAGAGAGAGAAGAGAAGAGGAAAGAGGGAAAAAGTGTAATCCGTTTTTTATAAAGGTGTTATTACTATAATAATCAAATGGCATTTGTTCTCAGAATCCTTATCATAATCATTATCGTTATAGCCATTCAAATAAGTATTGTCTTACTTTTCTATCATTCTATCCAAGCAATATCATACATGCAATGTGTCACTAATCTACGACCTCGCGGCCCAATACAAATTTTGAATTACAACAAATTCTATAAAAAAAATATCACAACACTATGAATGATAGCAGCAGAAACCTTATTCTATATTCCGAACAACAATTATGATTAAGCTAAAGGATTTCTCCTCCCTTTAAATTCTATTGTACTTATCCGTCTCCTAAACAATACCTAAAGAACGATGAAGTGGGGGAAACTCTACGGACTTGGCAACCCACGTTTAACTAATTCATATCTATAATGACCACATAAGTGTAACAATGCCTTTCTACTCCCAAGCTTTACGCCGGCCTGGTGGATAAGTAAATATAAAAATTATAATTGTTATTTTCCTTTAACTAATATAGTACAAATTATAATAGCGCTATAGCCTATATAACTATTCTGTAATGCTATGTAACCAGCTTGCACACGCATGTACAGATAGCTTAAACTAAACTAAAAATGTTTCGTATAAACCAATTCAATAGAGACTATGCAGCTGTACAAAATGCAATTGTACAATTATAAAGGAAATTACATGAACACGAAAAAGTTATTTATACCAGATGATCACCTTAGCAAGCGTCTTAAGAAGGATATAAAATCAAATTGATATGTACAAACCTTTCTTTTTTTAACTTATCAAAGGAGTCTCAACAGGGTGAGTAAATACGAAACTTAATTATCATTTCTACAAATGTAACATCACACTAGGGTAGGATCCTTGTTAATTAGCAGACAACTTAATTAATTTTCATTCTTAATCATTGACTAGAATATAACGTTAGGAATTATAACATTTTATAGGTTAAAATCAATGAATAGAAGTGACAATTCTAAACAATATTGGATACAAAACTGGAAGATTGCGTAAGGTTAACTTTGCAGAACTATACAAACTGGATGAAATAAAATGAACATTTAGTGTTTTATCTTATCTTTTGACAATTTAATCATATGCATAAAAGATAAAATGAGATAAATGAGAACTGATGTCAGACTTCTTTCTTTTAAGATCCGCACTCGTTATTTTTTTGTACCTGACATTTCTCTGTCTATTCATTTCTCTACCTTTACAAGTGTCGCATTTTGATATCGTTATTGTTTTGACATCGTTATTGTTTTGATATCGTTATTAATTATATCTGACAAGATTGTAGTTATTATGTGATATTAATACTCCAGTCTCGAAGTCTACTTAACATACACAATTTCAGAAATTCTACGAAAAGTATGAAATCTACGAAATCGACAAAACGCCATGAAATGTAGAACGAGATCCACAAATCCCACAAAAACACGAAACATGAAATATACACAAAATCTAAAAAAAAAAAAAAAAAAAAAAAAAAAAAAACTCCCATAAATCCCCAAAATCCCATAAATCACTAAAATATCACCAACACCTTACAACACACCCACGCAATACACCCTCCGAGACCCCCTTATACCCTACGCAACCGCCTTAGTACGTACTCAGCAGTTCGTCGTGGGTCTTGTACATGCCCTGCAGGGTGCTGGCTCGCTCCTCCAGCTCCGCCACCTCCGCCGCCAGCTGGTCGCGTTGCTTCCGGTGGGTCTCGAGCTCTTGGGCGGCGATTTCCTGCAGGAGGGGAAGGGGGGGTGAGGAGGAGAAGGGTGAGGGGGGGAGGAGGAGAGGAGGGAAGGGAGAAAGAGGGGGGAAGGGGGAGAGAGGGGAAGGGGAGAGAGGGTGGAAGGGGAAGAATAGGGGGAAAGGGGAGGAGAGGGGGGTGGAAAGAGGGGGGAGAAGGATGAGGGGAAGGGGGTGAAGAGTGAACGTGAGGGAAGAGGAGAGAGGGATGGGGGAAGAATAGGGGGAAGGGAGAGAAGGGGGAAGGGGGTATGAAGAGGAGAGGGTGGGGGAAGAAGAGAAGAGAGAGGGATGGGAAGGAGGGAGGAATAGGGGAAGGTGGTGAAGAGGAGAAGGAGGAGCGAGAAGGAAGAAGGGAAGAGGGTGGAGAGGGGGGGGGAAGAGGAAAGGATAGAAGGATGGGGGAGGATAGGGGGAAGGGGGGAGAGGAGGGAAGGGAGAGAGAGGGATGGAAGGGAGTGAAGAGGAGAGGACAGAGGGGTGGGGGAAAGATAGGGAGAAGGAGGAGAGGAAGGGGGTGGAGAGGAGAGGGTGAGGGAATAAGGGAGGAGAGAGGGATGGGGGGATAGGGGGAAGGGGGAGAGGGGGAAAGGGAGAGAGGGTTGGAAGGGGTGAAGAGGAGAGGAGAGAGGGATGGGGGAAAAGAAATAGGGAGAAGGAGGAGAGGGAGGAAAAGGGTGAAGAGGAGAGGGAGGGGAAGAGGAGAGGAGATAGGAATGGGGGAAGAATAAGGGGAAGGGGGAGAGAGGGGTGGGGGAGAGATGGGTTGTAAGGGAGAGAGAGGGGTGGAAAGAGGGTGGAGGAAGGGGAAGAAGAGGGAAAGGGGAAGTTGGGAAGAAGGGGGAGTGAGGAGGAGAGGAGAAAAGGGGAAAGGTTGAAGGAGGGAAAGTTGTGAGAAGGAGAAGGAGAGAAGGGGAAGACAAAGGAAGTGGGAAGATGAAGGGACGTAGGGAGAGGAGGGTGAATAAGAGTACATGAGGAAAAAAGAAGAAAAGAGAAAGAAGAAGGATGAGAAGATGAAGATAAAATGAGGGAGAACAAAAGAAGTGGGGAGAAAAGAGAAAAAGAAGAAGAAGAAGAGAAAGCCAGAAGTTGAGAAGAAGAAGGGAAAATGAGGAAAAAGTTAAAGTTAGATCGCTGCCATAAATACACTTAGATATACACATGCATTAACATTTACGTGCGTGAGAAATTCGACTTTGACCTGTGTGACATTAATGAACTGTTGCTCAAACATGATATATACAAATGTAGTAATATCAAAAGTAGACATTCCAAATATGATTTCCTTTAAAAGACATATATATATATATATATATATATATATATATATATATATATATATATATATATATATATATATATATATATATATATATATATATATATATATATATATATATATATATATATATATATATATATATATATATATATATATATATATATATATATATATATATATATATATATATATATATATATATATATATATTATATATATATATATATATATATATATATATATATATATATATATATTATATATATATATATATATATATATATATATGTATGTATATTAAATTAACATGATTAGACATTTTTCATATATAAAGAGTCGTTCTATATTTTCAATAATTTTCACTTACCTTTTTATCAGTATGTTTACTTTACTTAATAATTCATTTATTCATTAACCTCGTTAAAAGCTTCCATTTTGATTAAAAATTTGCTGATTTTTACAGGTGACTGCAAACACATATTTAGTATTTGTAATTAAATCATAAAATTCAAATTATTATAATTGATTCAAAACAATAACGACAACAACAACAAAATAGAAACAAAAAATATTTTCTACACTCAAAAATGAATTCAGATTTGACTCTCAGCTTAAATCCATATATGGAGTCTGACCAAATCAAGCGAATAAAGAGAAATGTGAAGGAACAACATCAAGAATTAGTTCAAATTCAACAAGAACAGACAAACAAAAATAAAAGCAAGAGAGAGGAAATTGAAATGCCTGATGCAAAATGGAAATGAAAATAAAGTCATGTGATAGAAATCGGACACAGTTGAAATTCCATCATTATTTGGACTTCATTTTAGCTTTCTTGTTATTCAAAATTAATTCTGCTTTTCGATTCTCTTAGAAAATGAAAAAAACTAAGGGCAGGAGACCCAAAAAATTTTGTTTGCAGATATCAGAGAGAAAATCTAATACAAAATGTAACACTCATATTAATACAGACAAGGATACTGATGAAGCAACAGTATAGGAGAGACAGTATAGTCCTTTAAGACTGTACTTATTTAACACTGATTATCTCCGTTAAAATTGATTATCATCATAGAAAGAGTGATTGATGTATTTTTTTTTTATCGGTGACATAAATGGTTCTTACAGAAACTTTTCTTACAGAAATAACATTTATTACACAATACTCACTATCTACCATTGACAGCAACAACTGACAAATGTATGCTATTTATATACTCTAATTCATGCACTATTACACAATACTATTTTAGCACATTACTACAGTACAATACAGATTATTAAGTACATCATCATACTTTACGATAAAACAACAGCTTCAAACAGAAATATTACATTCATGCAGAAATAACAGATAAATTATTTGACCAAGAGTCTGATATATTTTAAAAGTAAAAATTTCACGTAAAATCCACAAAGTCATATCAACACAGCATGCATCACCAGGGACTATCATGCAACGCGGATCATGCTTTCATTTCCACGCATCCCAAACCATGCAATCAAAAGCTCGTATTGAAAACGCGACAAAACCCTACAACCTACAACTCTTTCTTCGTGTCTACAACCCTCTCTGACCTTGTTATGTGCACCTCCCCTTTGAGTACATTTCCACAACCCCGCTCAACCTCTGAATATATTTCACCCCCCCCCCTCTCCCTCCTCTCCCCCTCCCACACTCTTTTTTGTTGTGTAATCTGATCTGCTGTTTCGCGCGAGTGTGCAAGACAAGCAATTAGGTTTCAACGTATTAGTAATTAGTAGGTATGAGATAAGCCCGAGGATGGGACGGCTGTGGAGTTATTTTGCATATATTAGATCTTTCTCCTTTGAGGAAATGCAAACAAGCTTACTTACAGGGACGTATAGTTCGATACTTCGATATGAAGCCAATTAATCACATACGGACGCGGGGGGTAACAGGTATACGTGAACAAATAAACAAGTAGACAAGAATATAGCTTATATTAGGACACCTATAGATACATACACAGATGCAATCTCTCTCTCTCTCTCTCTCTCTCTCTTTCTCTCTTCTCTCTCTCTCTCTCTCTCTCTCTCTCTCTCTCTCTCTCTCTCTCTCTCTCTCTCTCTCTCTCTCTCTCTCTCTCTCTCTCTCTCTCTCTCTCTCTCTCTCTCTCTCTCTCTCTCTCTCTCTCTCTCTCTCTAAGGCCAAGGACAGGATATACATATTTATTTTATCTATCTCTCTTTTTGGAAAAGAAACGAGAAGATATATCGGTAAAGAGCTAACAAATAAGCATTTCTCCATGCATGTTTGTCTGTCTGTCTATTTATGTGAATGTGATTATATATGTATACAATTAACATACAAACACGTAGGCATAGACACACGTGTACACACCCAGAAAATATGTGGGGACGTTAAATAACATCGACTGAGGAGCAAGAAACATGAGGCTATGTTGTGCTGAATCAAAGTAAGGAAATACTCATAAATATTCAACATTTTTCGTTGTTTTTAAAAATGTTTCTTTCCCATCGTGACCAAACGTGAAAAATTGTTATCACAGTCTTCTTTTTCTATTATTTTCTTCTTACGTTTTCATTATTTCCCCGAAGATATGTAAGTATTTTTTCATTGTCATTTATTTCGCACCAAAAAAAATACCAAGTGCGTAAAAAAAAGGAGAAAAAAAATCTTTAGTAGACTATTTTTCTGAGATTATTGCTTCCCTAATGACACGAAGAGAGAAAGAAAGAAAGAAAAGAAGAAAAAACAGACAAGGAAGAAAACAAGTTGTCCCAATTTCTCAAGATAAAACCGACATGGGGCAGACAAGTGGATCCTAAGAAGACTTCTAAGTAATTGGCTAATTGGGACAAATATTGTTTTAAACGTATTTATGAACACAGGGTAAATATAAACATAATATGATTTATGGGTGTGATCAATTGTTGTGTAATAGCATTATACTAATCTCCGAAAAAAAATAGTTTTAATGTAATGTCACATTAAAATACCAATTAGGAAAGTAAATTATCAGCTCTCTCTCTCTCTCTCTCTCTCTCTCTCTCTCTCTCTCTCTCTCTCTCTCTCTCTCTCTCTCTCTCTCTCTCTCTCTCTCTCTCTCTCTCTCTCTCCTCTCTCTCTCTCTCTCTCTCTCTCTCTCTCTCTCTCTATATATATATATATATATATATATATATATATATATATATATAATATATTATTTATATATATATATACATATATATATATATATAATATATATAATATATATTATATATATATATATATATATATATATATATATATACACAGACATAGAGAGAGACTGTTTTATAGACAGATAACCGAAAGAAAAAAGAGAGATAAAGAATTGGAAAAGAGAGAGAAAACGAAAAAGACATGACCAAAGACAGACAAGAACACGCCCTTCGGACAACTCCACCAACAAGAGCAACAAGAACACAACTCAGACGATGGAGATCCCTCGAGAAAAGGCCTCCATCTCTCTCCCAAACAAGAACAAAACAAACAAACACACAAACACCAAAAAAAAAACAAAAAAAACTCCCGGCCTATTCTTTAGACAACAAAAGAACAATTCAAGTGAACGTAATTATTCCACCTTTTTCCAGCAACGGAAAAGCCAAGACAAACTCAACACCCCATTGAACAAACACGAAACAAAAACAGAGTCCCTACCCCTTCAGGCAAACACAAGACGCGGAGTAAGAC